TAATAATTTGCTTTAGCTCCAGCTCGTGATTATAAATACATCCTGGACGTGGATGGTGCAGGTGTATAATTGTACAGTCAGTGCGAATAGCCGTGATTCATGAACGATAAATGGAAATAAAAGAATAAAATATTATTTTATATTATTACTAAATATTTATATATATATATGCATTTCTCTTTCTCATCAGACCGTATAAGGTCAGCAGGAGGAATTGCAACATGATTTTGGTCTTCTTGTGCTACGGGGAGAATAACGCACGAACAATGGGAGCTGATCACGGTGCATATCAATCGTCCGACAAATTGTCACAAAAGAGAACCGAAGGATAAGTAAGTCATGTTCGCGGGAGCTGATTTTTGTTCGTGAAAATTTTTCGAAGTCGGCTGTAAATCTCGTATCGGCCCTGTGTCTTCGTGCCGAGGATATGAAGGTAAAACGATATTGTTACTTATGTATAAACTATATTTATATATATATAAAGGCTGTATTATAAGCACAGCTCGCACACTGACACTATATATAAAAAAAATACATCGCTCGTCGGCTGCAATGCACCACCGCGATGTAGTATATAWAGTGACCTYCAGATGTGTATGCACGTATTTTATTTTTTATCTCAAATATCCAAGTACGTCCTTATTAGGTTTCTCTCGAATCTGCTGGACCATAACCGGCATAATACCGCATACGCCACCTCATTAATACCTGGATGCCGTGCCGATGCAGTTGCGCCTCTCGATTTTCGGGCTCATAATTTCGGTACAATAATAGGTAACAAATTATCCTCGCGTGTTCATGATGGAGTACACCGACCTGGATTGACGGGCTGGTTCGGAGTTCACGGATTCATTGTTTGTATCACGGTGCTGCGTGACGTACATGATTTTTCGTGTAATTTACCAAAATACCGAATTTTTAATGAAAACATTGTGAGATTGTTGTACGATTATTATATTTAATAACAATACTTTACGATATCGATTCATTTAAACGATTAATTTACTATACCCAAGAGCTATTTGCTAAAACTTTATAAGACTGTTATTGGTACTGTTGGGATTACTGTATATGGCGTGTGCGAATTTACATGGTAAATAACTAAAATCTACAGTTCAGTTAGTTTTTCAAAATTTAATATATAATATGTTTATTCGAAAAAAAAATACTGTTGCTCGTAATGAAAATCAATAAACTGGTTCGATTTTTTTAATTCTCGATGAAGTGTACTGGCAAATACAAATGGAAATCTCACTTTTCAGCTAWTACTGCATCTAATAAACGTTGACTGAATATCGTCATCACTAATTTAAATGATGTGTAGAAACCAGTTTTTTGCCAGCTTAATTATTCACGTGGGATTCACCTTCGCTCTCTAATTCTCCGATAAACCACTGTAACCAATCGGAAGCAGGAAGTCGAAATTACTATGAAAACTAAAGAAATAAAAGAAATATGTTACTATACACACTTTTCGAAATAAAAATATTAACACTATATTAATCATTAATAGTCATCGCCGAAGATGAAGATTATAGCGRAGTACGAATATTATATACATTTTATTTGTAGTTAAGTGATTATCGAGTTAGTAATGTTCCTTAATGAGTGATGGGATTGATATTGAAACAATAATTTGGTATTTTCTAAATTTATTGTTTAAAAATTAAATACGCATATACATAATACATAAACTTCGAAGTTTAAACCATATGATTATGATGGGTTTATATTGGCTATTATACTAGGTATTGGTGCATCGTTCAAAACTATATTATCATAAAAATATATGAKTAAACAATGAAGTACCTAGAATATGTGTTTGATATTTTGACTGTGTGAAGAATTTTCTGTCATTGGATTGAACTATACGAAAATAAGGCTACGACTATTATCTTTTTTAATTCTATGTAATAAAATTATATCCTGTTATAATGTGGTTATTTACAAAATATACCTAGTAACGGCGTAGACATGTGACTTCTTGTAGTGG